CTCAATTAATAAATATCGTTTGGTAAATCACTAACAAGTTATAAGAGTTGCTTCTAATCGTATAATATTTCTAAAATTCCTTAGGGTGGCTAGGCAAGAAGTCGTCAGAGCTGAGATTAAGAACTGCTATCAGAACAGATGAGAGAGTACGATTAATGAACGAGATTATTAGTGGAATCCAAGCCATCAAGATGTATACCTGGGAGAATTTTTTCACCTCGCTCATAGAGAAAGCAAGAAAGTAAGTACTACCGCATAAACTGATTACGTAAAAAATATTTTTTATCGATTGTACAATACATTGCAACAAGAAAGATGATTCTTGCAAAACCTGTTTGTGATAACGCTTTCGTAGCCCAAAAAATAGAAGCAGAGAATATTTCTGTTTTTTAATGTTTGTATTGACAAAAATTCCAGTATTAGAAATAAAATTCCAATATTAGAAATAGTCATATCCTGGGACGATTAATATTATACGATATTTTTTATTTGAAATGAAAAAAAGAAATATATTTATTGTACAATATATATAAACGCTACAAAATTCAATTTTAGGAAAGAAGTTAATATCATTCAATGGGCGTCATGTGTTAGAGGTATCTTCAAGTCTTTCATCGTCTTTATGACAAGAATATCGTTGTTCATTATGATAATGTTTTATATTCTGTTTGGCTAGAAGATAACGACCGAGAAGGTGTACGTGATAACTGCCTATTATAACAATGTAAGCTTAATCATGACTGCCTACTTTCCGCAAGGTATGCGATAATTAGTGTAGCAGTGTATGTGATAATTACATATGTGAATGACATCGATCAATATTGACGCTTGCAATGCTCCTTTTTACTTTTTCAAGTGTTTACTTTTTTTTTTATCTGTTTTTCCTTCCTCACTGTTCAACACTGAATGATGAATTCCTCGCTGCATTTGTAGCAGAGTCGACGTAATGTGTTCACGAGCATTTGCATGCGATATCTTGCTGATTAAAGCCGTAATGCTACAATCGGCAAATTATTATACATAATTAGTCGGTTAGTTGAAACTATGGAAATTAAATCATTGGAAATTTAATCAAGTCAGTTAAAGAGATATTTCAGTCTGCTGCCTTACGGTGATAAGACGATTGTAGGAGAGAAGGGTGTCAGTCTTTCCGGTGGCCAGCGTGCAAGGTTGGTTTTACAAAACATTCTAATAAGACAAAACATGCTGAATTTATTGAAATTTTTAATCTTTATTTATAATCTCAGAGACTCTCTTTTAATTCTTTTTACCTATATATGATGAGGTTGTTAAGAATCATAAAAAATTATATTTAATTTTCTTGAAAATTTTTGTATTTCATATATATGTATATGTGACAGAATAAATTTGGCGAAAGCCGTTTATGCCGATGCCGACATATATCTTATGGACGATCCTTTAAGCGCCATAGACACCCATGTGGGCAAGTATATATTTGAAAAATGTTGTACCTGGCGAGCAGTATTTCGCAAGTGGTTTTTCGGTTTTCCTTCTGTCTTTCATTCAGTTCATGTGGAACCCATTTTTCCATCTTCTGGATCTTTCCCATGGGTTTGAAACGTATGGAGACGGCTTCTCGTGTCACATTCAATTGATCCGCGAGTTGTTGTTGAGTTTGA